AAATTAATGGCGTTTACTTCCTCTCTGTCTGATCAGGCCAGTAGGATGAATGACTAGGGTAACTTTGGTGATAACGCCATGGTGGTGCTAGCACCTTTTCTGGTGTATGGTTGACCCATTTGCAGGCAAAATGCAAAAAACATAATTTTGCTTTTGTCAGTTTACATGGTTGAACATTGTATTTGAAATCAGGCAAAGTCCTGTCTCTTCCTCAACATGTTTTCTCAGAATTCAGTCTCTAGAGAAAGCACCCTCCTGATGACTATCAATCCTCGTCTGTCCATGCATGTGTACATGTACACTCACACACACACACACACACACACACACACACACACACGAAATTCTGCAGGTCACTAAGACCCCCAGCTTTCCCAGGAGGTCTGCTATGAATGCACATGAGGGAGAATCAAAGAATGTGTTGCCTGTAGCAAGGACTTCTGAATCAAGTTAGTTTTGAAAAATAGGGGAGATGACTTTAATTAAAGCTTTCTCTGCACTGCTCCTTAATCCGTACAGGAAGAAGATACAAGTACAGAGAGCTTTGCAAACTATCATAGCAAGCCCATGAGGCAGAAACCATTAGCCCCATTCCATAGATGAGGAAACTGACACTCAGAAAGGTTAAACACATTCCTTGAATATACACAGCTAATGAGCACTGTGCTCTAAACCCCTCCTTCTCGCCCCAGACCTATGCTCATGACCCTCAAAGCCCATTCATCACCCAGGCAACTCTTCCAAACTGGTGTCTTCAACTGGAAAGTGGAATCTTGCTCTATTAATAAAGAGGCAGCCTTTTGCTGAGGATGGAGCTCTGACTTTAGAGTCAGAGTTCTCTGGAATCTCTTCATACCTTTTAAATCACTGCCATGGGACCTCAAGCAAAGTTTTTTTTGCCTCTGTTTCCTTGCCTGGGAGGTGGGGGTGGTGGCAATTTCATAGGTTAATTATGAGGATGAACTAAGATAATGTTACCACATAACAAAGTCTAGGAGGATTTATACTAATATGTCAACAGTGGTCATCCCTAGCTAGTATCCTTACAGGTGGTTTCACTTTTCCCTCTTTTGCCCATCTTTTTTCAGTGGTGTTCTGGTAAATGTTTAGCAACTGGCTTTCCAAAAGAAAAGACCTGATTTGTAGTGTTTGCACATTTCTGTGGTGTAAATACTTCCATGATGGCTGATTTCAAACTACCACCATGACATCACTAAAGATGGATCTGGGGAGAGACATGCATAGTTAGCTCTGGCAAGCTGGGACAGGCATACTTCAGCACACCAATGCTTTTATTTTTAACTACACAGTGAGTGTTTTAGTAAATTCAGAGAGAGAATTAATCAATACATCTAGCACCATGCCAGACATGATAGTTGTCATCTCTCCCTGTCCTTCCTCCTAAGCCCTTATTAATCTAATCAAAGAGCACACTGACCATGAGCTCCTATCGACATGAAGTGGTGGATTTCAGGAAGCCAAGTGCCCTTACCTTGCTCCCCATCTGTCAGGCACTGGTCAGAACCTGGGCAGCCTGTGGAAGAGATTCTGAATGTCTGCCTGCCGAGGAGTTATCAAGCAGATCCTGTCACTGTCGACACGAGACATGCTCTGAGTGGACATGTGCAAGGTTGATACTGCCCTAGAGCAAACCAAGTGAAGTCCCAAATGGTGGAGGGCCTGGTTTGGAGCACACCCCCAGGTGACCTGTCTCTGACTCAGTGATGTAAGAGGGTGTGTGTGTGTGTGTGTGTGTGTGTATGTGTGTGTGTGTGTGTGTGTGTATGTGTGTAGTAGAGGTAGGGGGCGCTACAGATTTCTGAAGGAATCTAGAATTGGTTATCAATTGCAGCCCTGACAGGCCTGGGATGGGTGGCCGTCAGACATGTCCCACAAAGGTCCAGGCACAGTCCCCAACTCTACAGTGTCTAGCCTCAGCCTCCCACTTGGCATACTTGGTGGCACACAGTTGATGCTTAGGAAATTTTTTTAATTAATGAACTTTTATGCCATTATAGCTTGACCTATTGTAGAAAAGATAAAAGGCAGCTCAGTAAATGCTTTGTTAAATAATAAGGAAGTCTGAGCCTTTGCCAGCTCCTGGATTCACCTGTTCCTGGATATAAAATGTGACTAAATCTAAATGAGGTAGTAAATGTTCATAAAGGTTGCCAGTGTTTTTTTTTTTTTTAATTCTGATTTTCCTGTGTTTTTCAAATGTATCTTCAAATAACATGGATCTCTTTTGTTTTTAAAACTGAATATTTATTATAAAAATAACCTATAAATAAAAAGTAAAACAAGAGTGGTATCAGCAATTAAGGACCAGGAGGCATGCTCTCCATGCTAGGAAGCTCTGGACCCAAGGTCCCCAGACATTTTGGATGGGCCCACCTTGGTCTACTTATACTTCAGGATGCTTGTCACAGCTCTATTCTCTCTCAGCCTCTTTCCACAAGCTTCCCCACCTACCAGGCACTGAGTAATAACACTCTCCTTCAGTAACAAGTGTTAGTCAGAAGTGGAAATAGACACAGGTCTTACAGAAGGGAAATAACAGGCCCCAACCAGGACAACAATAAGTTGGAAATTCCGTGGGCCTGCATCCCCAGTCATCTGTCCTCACAGACCTAATCCCTGGGACTTGCAGGATTAGTCTTCCCCTTCCAGTCACGCGCCTCCAGGGCAGCAAGGCCTCAGATATGACGAATGTGTCAATTCAATTTCTCTCTAAGCAGCAGGGTTGCTTCAAGTAAAGAACACCAAGCCCTGGGTGCCTCCATTAAAGGATTTGTTGGGGGGACTCCCTGGTGGTGCAAGGGGTTAAGATGTAACCTATGAAGCTGTCTGCAGCCTCTGCAGCACAAGTTCAATCCCCGGCCTTCCAGGAAGAAACCCAGATGGTGCAGCAGACCTCTCCTGACTCACCCACTGCTCCCCTCAGCAGTGTACTTTGGTCAATCTGCCTGTTCTGTTCCCCACTCTCTCTGGTGAATCCTCTCACTGCCCCCCCCTACACCCCCCCCTCTGGCCTTTACCCCAGCTCTTGTGTGCATAAATAAATAAATCTTTAAAAATATATATTTAAAAAATTAAAAATTAAAAAAATAAAGTATTTTTCTTGGGTTATAACACAGCCATCTCCACATCATGAGGAACCAGCTCTTCTCTGTGACCAGGACTGTAGCTGCGGGACCCTCAGGTGTTTGGTAATTTTTTAGAGGCATAAGTTAAGAGTGTGGGAATGAAAAAGTTTGAGAAGTTTGTGACTTTCAATTGATTTGAAGACCTTAAGTGTCGTTTAAGTCCTCTGTCAAACCTGTCAGCAGTTTGGCTCTGCTCTCAGAGCCAAAGTGACTCTAGAGTTAGCTGAGAAATGTCAGGCTGGGGTGGCCCCAGGGCTCCACCTCCATCCCAGGGTGCACCAAGAGATTTGACCATCAGTTTCCTCAGAAGTAATTTTTTTATTGGCAACTTTATTGAGATATAATTCACATAGCATATATTTGCCCACTTAAAGTGTACAATTCAGTCATTTGTAGTATATTCACAGGATTGTGCAACCATCACCACTATCAATCATAGAACATTTACATCACTCTGAAAAGAAACCCTGTACCCTTTGACAGTCATCTCCCAATTTCCTCTAGCTTCCTTCCCCCAGTCCAAGGCAAGCACTAATCTAATTTTTGGCTCTATAGAGTGTCCTGGAGAGTATTTCATATAAATGGAATGATTCAATGTGTAGACTTTTGTGTCTGGTTCTTTCACTTGGCATGATGTAGTATTTCATTGTTCAGTTAGACCAAATTTGTTTATCCATTCAGCAGTTGATAAATATTTGGGTTGTTTACGCTTTTTTTGGCTGTTATGAATAATCTACTATGGACGTGACTATACCAGTTTTTGTGTGGACCTATGTCTTCATGTCTCTCAGGCCACATAACTGTGTATAGCTGATTATGTCACTTCTTTGCTTAAAAATCCTCAGTAGCTTCCCATATTATTAAAGTCAAGTTCAAAATCCTTCCCTTGGTTCAAGACTTAGACACTCCTCTTGTTCTTCTGATTTAGTCAAGAGGTTTCTCTGACACATAGACCCTCTTCCCTTGACAGACCTAGAACTTTCCTCTCCTTCCTCTGACCCTTTGTTTCTCTAACCCCCTCATCCTGAGATCCCAACTGAAATGTCCTCTGCCAGGGAAGCCTCTCCAACAGCTCAGACAAAGTTAGGTCTGCCTGCCACACTCTCATGGAACCATGTACATCTTCTCCTGCATGTACTAGTTATAGACAAATAACTTATGTGATTATCAGGTTATAATGTTTTCTCTCTCCTGCTACCATAAGCTGCAGGAGACCAGAATGCTATTCTTGCCCAACAGTTACCCTCAGGTACCTAGTGTGGCACACTGGCGCACTGGGTAAATATTTACCAAATGAAGAATGGATAATGATGTCAGCAAACAAGCCACTTGTCTGGACGCTTCCTTTTGTCTCAGCTGATATTTCCTCAGGAGGGTCTCCTTCAGCTGTTATTTCCTCAGGAGGCTCATAGGGAACTGCTGTGGTCAGGAAAATTCCCCTTTCTCTCCCCTTACCCCCTGCTCACCTGAGAAAAAAATCCAGCTTAAGTCAGAAATGACTCAAAGGAGTTCCCCCATTCTAAGATAACTGGAGCCCCATTGCTTCCCACTAATACTTGGGATCTTCGGAAGGATGATCCCCCACAGCCTATGACTCAGGCCAGGCCCCAGCACTGCTGACTAAACCAACAGAGGTAGCAGACCGTTTCCTACAGTGAAGTGAGGCGGGAAGCAATTGCTTCTCTGAGAGTTCGGGAGCTGCTTTATGACAGACCGAGTTCCCATTAGTGAAGATAGTGTCTTTGTGCATGTCTTGTTTGAGAAACTGTCCTTGAGGAAATTCCAAGAGGAAACTGTACACCTTCTGAGACTTAATTGCTTTTTCAAAGAAACCTGTTTTCATCTCCCCCACAGATATGCACTTATTTGGCCATTATCCAGCACATGACGACTTCTATCTCGTAGTGTGCAGTGCCTGTAATCAGGTCGTCAAGCCACAGGTTTTCCAGTCGCACTGCGGTAAGTGGACTCCTGCACCCGCCCGGCACATTTGCAGCTGCCACTCCCAGGAGGATCTCCTCCTCTTTGACTCCCCCAACGCTGAATGCTGGCTTGTGTCTGTCTTAGCCCAAGGCTGTGGATAGATTGTTCCTGGGGCTCTGCCTCTGCTAATAGTGTAACTATTTTAAGAGCTGTATGTAGTCCTTCTCCTGAAATGCTCAGTCCTGTCAGAACAAATGAGAGAAAACCTGAAACCTGTTTAGGTAGATGGTACTAGACTGAAAAACGTTCACCCAATCTTTTCAGTGACAAAGGGCAGGGGAGAGCGGTGGCTTGAAGAATGGCTCCTGCAGCCTGGCATTTTGTTCCCTGAAATAGAGGGCCAGACAGCGACTCCCTGTATTGACACAAAGGAGGGATTGGAGCCATGGGCTGCCCAGTGCAGGGGCCATTGGGTTGCCCTGCCCCAGAAAATTCCTTTTAGTCAAGCCTCAGGTACAGCTCTTCTTTTTCTTGTTAAAAAAAATCCAGGTGTATTTGGAAACTGGCTTCCCCCGGTATCTTTGCATCTTTGGTACAATGAATTCCCTTATCTTGGTCAACAGCAAACCCTGGACTCACCTTCAGTGCAGGTGCCACGACATAAAACAGAGTCCACATGGCCGCTCCTCTCGGCAACCAATAAACAGCTATCTGACCTTAAACAAGCAGTTACTTAACCTCTCTAGGTTTAAGTTTCCTTATCTTTAAAGGGAGCATTGGACTAGGCGATTTCCAAAGCTTCAATATGCCGAGTTCCAGAACAGTATTTCCCAATCTTTTTATTTAAGCCATATTCTTTTTTGATGAACCTTAAATTTGAATGCCCTCCTTTACTGTTAAACTTCAAAGCACATTAAATATTTTGCCTAAGCAAAAAATCTAAGTAATTATGAGTATGCTCTTACAAATTACACATTTCCCCTTTTTCACACTCAGGATGTTTAACTTTCCCCCACCCCTTCAGTATCACTACTGTGTAATAAATGAGCACAAAATAAAGGGAGCTGAGTTTATCTAAGATTTTCAGTAAATGTAATTAGGACCACAGAATAGTTTGTATCTATTGTGATATCTCTGAATATGTATATATGTGCATGTTATCTGTACATATCATCTGTACATATCTAGGTATGTGTATAAAATCTGTATCTGGGTGTATACTGTAGGTGTGTTGTGTTTATAATATGTAGAAAGATTCCAGGTGCCCCTGCCCACCAGGTTTTAGGTGCCCCTTCCAAGACTATCTGACCTACAAAAGCAAAAAGGGCCCTCAAAAATATTGTACAAAGAGCTCTGCATAGAGGCCAAGTCTCTTGCTCTCCTGTACAACTCTGAGGCCTTGGGATACTTGCTTAATGTCTCAGCGCTTTGGTTTCTTCATCTCTTCCATGAGGTGGTGACAGCCAAGGGCACTTGCAACTTTTGTTGCTGGCAGAGTGTGCATGAAAGGAGCATGCTCTGCAGCAACTGACCTTCATACTCAGTGCTTGCTACCCTTCCTTCCACCACAGAGAGAAAAGATCAAACCTCTCCAAAGGGAAACTGAGGCCCAATGGCACTATCAACTGTGGCAATAGGTGGGGGCCTCAAGAACCGAGCGTTGGCAAGATCCCATCTAGCTGGTTGTTCAGTGGATGACCATGCAAGCTCTGTGGGGCGTTGGTTCTGTTGTATCTCATGAAAATACATAGGTTTGGTCACCCTGAATGTGACAATCATTCATTCATTCACTCACTCGCAGGAATGTGTTGCTGTTCTGGACAATGAGGAACAGCAGTGAATCAGACAGAAAAGAACAGTGGGAGCCATCAAAACCTTTACAAAAAGTTAATTCATTGGCAGAGTCTTTGATGGAAAGAACCTAAAAGGGACTCGGGACCCCACTGACCTACAGAATTCTACTATGGCAAGGCCCCAGCCAGCAAGCGGAGGAGGCCTCCAGGGTTTGCCTCCTTACATTCTAGGCTTTTTGGTGCAAGAGCCAAGTCGAGCTGAGGGTTTTTGTGGCCATCTGCTATGAGCAGTGGCAGTAAATTAATTTGGGGGTTTGAGGTTATTGACCTCATCACTTGAAGCCCTGTCTCCCCTGAGCTTCTTGCTGAACCAGCAAACCAGCAATGATGAGGACACAACCATAGCCCAGCAGACTGAGGGCCCACAGTCCCCCTCATCTTTCAGGTGTGTGTTCATTGATTCACAGCCCATATTTATCAAGGCTAGGAAAATACAAGGCGAGCTCAGAATCTCAGCAGCTCTTTTGGGGAGGAGGAAGATTTCTCGGTTTCCCTAAGAATTCCTCCTACAGTTTCTTGCTATGTCTTTCTTTGCTGATTTACCTCCTATTACTAGTCTTACTATTTTCAACAAGTTAGTAGGAACACTGTGTGCTAAGTGCCAGACACTGTGCAATGTATCTTTCATATGTTTGAGCTCAACAGTCCTACGAAGTTTGATGCCCATTTTGAACTTGAAGAAGCTAAAACTGGGGCCTTCCTAGTGGCACAAGGGTTAAAGTCTCAGTGTATCAAGCTGTTGCCAGCCACTGAGGCAATGGTTTCATGAGATTGATCCCAGGCCAGGGAGCTAGCCCACATGGTGCTGCAGACCTCTCCTATCTCACCTGCTACTCCCCCCTGCAGTATATTCAATAGATCTGCCTATTCTGCTCCCCACTCTCTCTGGTGAATCTTCTCATTCCCCACCCAACACCTCTGGCTTACACCCCAGTTCTTGTATGCAGAAATAATTTTTTTTTTTAAATCTTTAAAAAAAGAAGCTAAAATGTAGGAGCGCCTTGCCCAAGATCTCAAAGCTCGACAGGTATAGATCCTGATTTTGACCACAGCTAGCATCACTCCAGAGTGAGGGAAGTGCATGCTTACTCTGCTTGCTTAGCCACAGACCTTTGTTGCTTCTCTGCATGGATCACATGCCTCCTCTGCCCTGCCTAAACTCCAAGGCCTGACTCATTCACTCGTCATATAGTACGTGTAGTACAGGGCTTCAGACTTTTGTTAGCAGTACAACTTTTGTTCAAATGGAATCTCGTTTTGAAAGCCATCTATAAATATACAGTCCTGCGCCACATAATGACATTTTGGTGAGCAATTTATGCACATATACAACAGTGGTTTCTCTATGTATAAGCCTGGGTGGGAATAGGCTTTACCATTTAGGTTTGTACACTCTATGACATTCGAACAATGACTAAATCACCTAACACATTTCTCAGAAAGTATCACCATTGTTAAACCATGTGTGACTGTATATATCAAGCACAGCTACTGGGGTAAAACTTGGGGTAGGGGCTCAAACCCCACTTGCCTGGTCTACTCCTGACTTTGCCCTATCTCCCACCTGCCAGGGTACCATTGAACAGCATTTGAAGTTTGTTGCAGTGGTGACAACACACTTTGGATGCAGCAAAGCAGCCTACATGACCTGCCCGTTAACTGCATCACCTTGGGCTGGTCACCTCCTTTCTCTCTATCTTGTCTGTAAATGGCACTCTGCTGATGCGTGGGATTGTTGGCACTAAGTGACCAGTGAGGCACCTTCCTATGCCTACACCCAGAGCTTGGATTCACTTCTTTCCCCTTATCCCCATGGCGCCTTTCCACATTGCCCCCAATCAGAAGCAATTCATCCTCTTAAAATCCCTAGAACTCTCTTCCCTCTTCTCCTGGGCTACTTCCACCTTCTGCCATGCTCTTCAGTTATCTATGAACTATCTCTGCACAGCTGCCAACTTCTAGGATCCGTTCAGCCAAGGACGTACTTTTTCAATTCTGTAGTCCCAGCACCTAGAAATGAGATCATCGCCAGCCTCAACCCCGGGAGCAGAGCTGCAGTGCCCAGGAGCCAGTATATCTGGAGCCAAATCCCAGCTCAGCCTCTGCCCAATCCTGAGACCCTGGACTTGTCACCTTGTTAAATGACAGGAAACTGAAATGTGTTTTCTCCTGAAAAACTTGTTTATTCTTGGCACCTGTGCTTTGGCTCCCAAATTTTAAGGATCATGCCATATGCCTACAATGGATACATGTCAGATTCAAGATCTCATGTCCTAGTTAAGTTGAAAAAAGTATGTGTGTGTGTGTGAGAGTGTGTGTGTGTGTATGTGTAGGGAGTTGGTACTGGGGACTTTGGAGGTTGATAATAATTGAAAATATGAAAGCCATGGTGAAAAATCACGAATTTTGGAGTCAGACAAACCCAGGTTATTTTCTTGACTAACATTTACTAGCTGTGTGATTTCGGGCTAATTAAATAACCTTTCTGAGTCTCACTTTCTTCATCTAAAATGAAAGTGATTATTCATGCCATACAGTTGTTGTGAAGAATAGAGATAAAGTATGTAGAATTTCCTGGCAAGGAAATAAAGAAAGGGTAACTATTATTGTGAAAAAAGTGTGGCTATTTTTTATTAAGTTGGATGTTTCTTATGAAAAATGAGAAAACCAATTCAGTCAAGTGCTTCCTGTCTTCGTTGCTTGCCCTGTCTCAGGAGATGTGCACACTGAGGTCAATCTACAGACTTTGGCCTGTGATTCATCTTCAGCTTCCCACACTCTTGAAGGCAAGAACTGTCTGCCTCAAGATGATTACATTGCCAGGAGTCCTGAGGATTTGGCTTATAAATATGGCTTATTCACATTAGCCCCCAACCTCAGCTCCTTGGAAACACCATGGAGTGCCCAGTTCCTTTCTGGGTTTCCCAGAAAGGTCTGTCCGCCTTGGCTGCCTCACCGTAGAGGAGTCACATCACTCCCAGGACTGGCTGAATCCCTTGCTCCTGACTGTGCCCCAAGCTGGTGTCCCAGGTGTAAAAAGCAGATGCATCCATTGCTCAGGAGTCCCTCTACTTGGCATAGGGTGGAGGCCCTCTGTGCTACCCACCAGTGTTGGCTCCCTTGGGTCTGCTTCCTAGTCTGTGCAAAGGACCTTTAGATGCTTTTAAAAACTCTACCCAGGAA